CAAGGCAAAAAACATGTACCTGAGATGCAATTTATCTACACTGTCTGGTGCTCTTCTAGTATACAAACATTTTCAATAATGATGGTAATAGCAAAATTATTAGCAAAAAAAATGGTAAGAAAGGGGGGATTTTTAGTTTGAAGCTGGTTGTTGTGCCTGCATTTTAATGCTTTATATAATTTTTAATACAATATATATTTTATTATACATAAAATTGACTTTACTTTGTATAAATATGTTTTTTTCTAAAGACATGTCTGTCCTTACCATTTAAGATGTTCTGCTTGTACTCATTTTATTAAGTAGTTTGGCTTAATAAAATATTGTCTAGGTTGACATACTTTGGAGATACAATATTTAGTCTATATTTCAGGGTACCATGCCTTCCCATTAGATAGTATCCCTACTGTACTCCCATCATTCTGTTTCAGCAAAAAGTGTGCCTTTCAGTTTACATGAACAAGATTAAAGTGTCAGAATTCATACATACATACATACATACATACATACATACATACATACATACATACATACATACATATTATCTTCTTACTATCCTGTTCCACTCTCTTGATTTGTATACCTCCTTTTTTTCAGCAGAGCTACAATAGCACAATAGACCTTTATTAAAAAAATAAAAAGAACATTACTGCTCCCAGAAGAAATGATTTTTTTTCAATCACAAAATTTCATTCCCTGAATACTTACCTAGTTTTTTCTTATTTTTTTGGTGTTCGGAGATGCCCCATTGCCCTCTTTTTTTCTGTTCACCTACTAGAGAAAGTTTTCACACACATCCCCAGATTTCACACACATCCCCCATTTTAGACTATTTATCCTGATTTGACCCTAAAGGTTCCTGTCTCTAATTCTGGAAAGCCTTTGTGCCCTGGAGGAAAGTAGCTGTGTTACTTTCTGCTTCTTATCCATGAGAATTTGACAGAGACACTATTTTCTGTGAACTCCATGATATATCTGGATGTTCTTTGCTAATAATTAGACTCAAATCTTAGCCATTCTGCAATGTTTAAATAAATAAACAGATGCATGCTTATATCTCAGCTTGGAAACAATTATTCACCTTCATATATTTTCTTTAGGTCACCATGCCATATTGGATTGACTTATGTTACACACTGGAAATTGGGCATGGCACAATTGAGGTCAAAAATCCTGGATCTGTGTTTTAAGACAACTTTGGATAGAACTGGTCAATTTGGCAGTAAATTCTGAATTATTAGATTTAAGAAGTGGCAAAACATGAAATGAACTGAAAAAAATTTCCAGACCTTATTTCAGTTTATCTAATGTTGCTTAACTGATGATAAATTTCAGCTTTGCCAGCACAAAATTGTAGAGTGAATCCAAACCTGTTATGTAAAATCAGTCTATCTATTAATCTCAATATCATGTCCAATATGAACATTTTTGGACTTTCAGCCATGGATATAAAAATTTATTGAAAAGGGGAATGCCGTTTTTTAATCCATGAATAGAAATTACAGCTGGGACATCTACTGTACCAGATAAAAAGAATTCTATGTGGATCTTACTCTTAAGCATGCAAAAGTTTATGTTTTGAGTCTCAGGGTTATCTGTGGATCCTGAAATATTCATCCATCCATCCATTCTCTACAGCTGCCCATTTGTCATGTGGCCTCTAGAAACCCCCGGTAGTTGCTACCAAGTTATCTGTTTAATGTGATAGAAAAAGTTATTAAACACATAACTGATGAGTACAACTTTGCTGAGGAGTACAAATCTCTGATGGAGATTTGAGTGAAGCATGCCTTTAAGCTGTTGTATGTAGCTACATCACTCCAGGGGTGGGATTCAGCCAGTTCACACCACTTCAGGAGAACCAGTTGTTAACTATCTGAGCAATTTGGTGAATTGGTTGTTGGAAGAAATCATTAGGGCAGAGAACTGGTTGTTAAATTATTTGAATCCCACCGCTGCATCACTCTCTAACTTTTAAGAATGAATCAAGATTCTGGGCAAGATAACAAAACACTTGCATACTTCTTATCTTCACTGAGGCAAACCAAAGCTTCCCAGCTATATGTAATATTAATTAAAAAGAAAGCGGATCAAATTGAAATTGTGATCATCCTCACCTGCTATTTTTGAAAATCGAGGAAGCTGTATATCCTGCCAAGAAGATATCTAGCTATATTGACATAGATTACAATAGGCACTGAAGAATCATATGAGTTTCAAGTAGGGATACATCAAATGTTTCTGATGAGTTATTTCAGGGCCTTGTATTTTTCTCCTAATTCCTTAGATTAGCTTTTCCCAATCTGATATTCTGAAAACTGGGATGAAAGCTGGTTTCATTACTACAGGATATATAGTAAGAATGACACTCTATAAACATTACATATGATTCCTAAGTAATATATGTTTTATGCATAATGCCCCAAATTTATTTATTTACGATTTTTATTAGACTATGATACTTCAAATAATTCTCATATAATTAAGAATTTTATATGCAATAAAATTGCTTCTAAGTTAGACAGGACATTTTAAAACTATTAAAAATATGTTATCAGTGACTACTGAAATTATTTACTAAAATACTGTAGCAATTATAATCTTTGTTACCAGACATTCGTCTCATAAAATGGCTTCTTCTCTCTCACTTTAACCCTGCAGAATCAAACTAGCTTGTTAATATATATTTTCAAGTCCAGATTGCAGGTGACATCTATTATTATTATTATTATTATTATTATTATTATTATTATTATTATTATTATTATTATTATTATTATTATTATCATCATCCTTCCTATTCCCTATCTCTTCCAATGTATGACTATAACTGCTTGTATCTTTACAATTTATATTACTTATTTGTTCTCTAATATGATCTGACTGCTTATTAGGAACCTATGACTATCACTAAGTATTGTATCTTATGATTCTTGATGAATGTATTTTATTTTATTTTATTTTTTCTACATATACTTTGGAAGCCTTTTGAGCTGCAGGATATTTCCTTTTACTTCTTCAGCACCAACAAGAAACAGCCCTATTCTTATGAATGTGAGAGGCACGTTTTCAGTTTTCCAATTCAGGAAAGTCAAACCTGTTTCCCATTGCAACTAAACCTTGCTGGTGGAAGAGCAAGCAGGGTGTACCTCTTCAAACTGGCACAGAGTGGCCTGGAACTGGTATTTCCTGAACTGCAGAAAAAGTAGCTTTGGTTTATGGCACAGGTTTGCATGCATGTGCCTATGAGTCAGTTTTGACTCCTGGCGGTTGCCTGGATAGGTCCCTGCAGTTTTCTTGGCAAGACAGAGAGTGACTCGCCCAAAGTGACCTGGCTGGTTTCATGCCTAAGTTGGGCCTAGAATTCATGGTCTCCCAGTTTCTAGTCTGGTGCCTTAACCACTACACCAAATTGTCTGTCTTAAAGATAATTATATTCCCATCAACCTATAAAAATAGCTCGGCTTTTCAGAGTTTCACAAAGGCAACAGAATAATAGAATTGGAAGGGAGGCCTTTTTGTCCAACACCACTGCTCAAGCAGGAAGCCCTATAACATAATGACATTCTTTAAATGCACCTTCATAGAAGCTTAAAGAAATGAATGAAAGAATGTAGGAGATAAAAGAACTATAGAACTTAGAAGGAGTTAGTTCCTGACCAGTTCAAGGTTGACTTGGCCTTCTATCCTTCCAAAGACAGTAAAACCCAGATTGTTGGGGGCAATAGGCTGACTCCATTAAACCACTTAGAGAGGGCTGGCTGTAAAGCACTATGAAGCAACATATAAGTCTAAGTGCTTCATTCCATGGAAAAGAAACCAATTTAATTGACAAAACAATTGGCACAGGCTTGCCAGTTGCTAATCTAAAGCCAGTTCAGCTACTCTTTTCTGGAAAAAAGAATGGGGAAAAATATCATGGCAGCTTGGAGTAGAGTTTAAAACTGCTATCTTGTTCCCTAAAAAAAAAATGTCAGGAAACATTGTTTCTCTTTTCTCAGAGCTCTTAAGAATGTGTTCCCTTTTGTTTTAATGTGCACCTAGATTGTAAATATATCATGTGTTGTATTGGATTCATTGCATTGTTTGTATTAGGTTTAGATTGCCATTTTAATGTTCGCTTATCTTTTTAGAGGTTTAAATATATTTTTTTAGATTTTTAAAACATTTTAATTTAATTTTTGTATTTTAATGCTTTTAAATTCCTTGTACCCCATCCTTGTGATGCTGGTCTTTGACCATAATTAAGATTGATGGTGATTAGTTTCTCCTGGTTTTGAGCTTTCTTATTTTGTATGCTGTTCATAAACGCTGTTTATGTGCCCGTGTAAGCCATGTAAAGGCTTTGTAGGAAGATATCTTCACTGAACTTTAATGGAAGCTATTCATGAGAGAACTGATGCTTGCTTTTGGTTGCTTGAACTCCCAGAGACTTCTCAAATGTTTGTAATTAAGGTTAGTACTATGGGTGTCACCTCTGAGCCTTTATTCTCATTCATTTTGTTTGTTTTTGGAAAGCACCTTTTCTCTCCAAAGACATGGATGGTCCTCTAGATATTGCTGAACTATAACTCCTGACAGTCCTCACCAGCATGGTCAACTGCGAGGATGGTCAGAATCGGGATTTCAGTAGCACCTGCAAATTCACACGTTATGCAGTCATATAGTAATGGACCAATAACACCTGGATAAAATCAACAGAAGATCAGCATCAGCTATGATGGTAATTAGGTATGAATGAAAAGCTCATTTTGGCCAGATTTTGTATTAATCGATGATTTCTAAAAGGATTCTTAATAAATAATATAAGAACTTCTGCCTTGGGCAGGGATTGAACTAGAAGATCTCCAAGATCCCTTCAGCCCTATGATTCTGTGAATTGAAATTTATTATTATTTTTATTTATTTGATTTGTCAGTAGCTTACATTGCTGCACCAATCTCCCAAATTCAAAGAATAAAGCAAATCTGTCATATCATGTTACGTTTTTCCTGGGACCCTTTCTGGGCCTGTAGTAGATAGGAAAGGCTTCTGTTGGAGAAAGCACTCTAAAGTGAATTCCTGAGGGGGCGGGGGGAAATCACATCCTCCATGCATCTCCACAAGACACACGGTGTCACCATTGCAGTACAAAACTTCTACAGAACTGAGACTTGCAAACCCGACTTTTGAATACTTTGTCATGAAACATAGCTTGAGAAAGTATCCTTTAATTCAAAATCCATATTGCAGAGTCCGCTGTTTATAGATTTTTCTTTGAAATCCCCCCACCCCCACCCCAGCAAATTCAGAGAAATTTATAATCCAAAAGATTATACTACATTTATATTCCATCTTTATTTTATACAACTCAGGATGGTGTACATAATACTTCTGCTACCTAATTTTCCAGACAAAAAATCTGAGGTGGGTTGAGCTGAGAAAGAGAAACAGGCCCAAAATCATTCAACTGGCTTTCATGCAAAGGAAAGACTAGAACTCAGTGTTCGGATTGCTAGGCCATCACCTTCCCCACTATGTGAAACTGTCTGCATTAAAGGTAATTATATCCCCAACAGCCCATTAGAACATAAAATAAAGGCAGGGCAGATTATCAGGGTTTCATAAAGATGGAATTCCTCAAAATATCTCTTTGCAGAAGCTTAAGGAAATGAATGAAAGACTCTGAAAGAAGTAATAGCAAAATCCAATTTCATGGAAATGAAATCAATTTAATTGACAGAAATATTTAAAAAGTCCTGGTAGGAAATGCAGAGCTGCCGACGGGACCCAACATAATAAGGAAAAAGAAATATGAGAAAACAAGGCATTAAATCTTGTGTAAAGATGAATAATAATTTATAGAAGCTGCTGCAGAATAAAAATGCATGTGGTTTTATGTTCTGTGTAACTTTCAACAAAAGTATAATTAGACTAACAAAATATAAGTAGGTGGGTTAAAAAGTGATAAGTAATGTTGGAAATTCAAACAAGTCTACCTTACATAGAAGACCTTCAAGAACTAGTGTTACTAACCATTGGCCTTTTTGGCTGAGGCTGATAGGAAATCAATAGACAAAGGGCAACAGCTCCTTTAGTTCTGAGATTCAGCCAATATTAAAGCATAGAACATTATAATGGCATAGTTGGGAAAAACTTATTCCATTCACACACACACACACACACACACACACACACACACAAATGCCATATACGTTAGTTCATGAATCCATCTTTTCTTTTATGTACACTGAGAGCATACGCACCAGGACAAATTCCTTATGTATCCAATCACACTTGGCCAATAAAGAATTCTATTCTATTCTATTCTATTCTATTCTATTCTATTCTATTCTATTCTATTCTATTCTATCCTATCCTATCCTATCCTATCCTATTCTACTCTATTCTATTCAGCCTCTCTATTATAAACCCAAAAGTGGAAGACACAATTCTGATTAGAAAACCAGAAAAGAATGTAGGTTGTAGAATAATTCCCGATAAGAAAATAGAAGGATGACTGTTGACTCACTTTAATTCAGCTCTGAAACTAGACACCAGATTATTACAATGTTTGGAAAAAGACATTGGAGGCAATTTTAAAAATTAACCCAATTTTGGGGGGGGATCAAACTAGAATAACATTTAAATGTATTATCCTTGTTGATGCCATTGTGATTTATCTGCAGTTATATATATATATGACAAAAGTTTTCTGGAGATTCAACAGAATTCCAGTATGGTGTGCAACTTACTTTTTTTGGCTTCTTCAAGCTTATCTTTGGCCCGTTTTTCTGCGTGGAGAAGCTGCTGTATTCCCTGAGACTGGCTCGTCATTTTGCCTCTTTGAGTTCAGAAAATGCCTATGGCAATTGCAAAAGAGGAAGAAGGCTTTATGGCAGGACATCATATTTATTCAACTCTTCTCCTGTTGTGTCAATAATCAAACCATAAACTTTGCTCTGTCTCTTTGCAGGCTAAAGCCAGATTAAAACCATGGAAGAAAACAAAAAGCAGGTGCAAAGAAGTGGATCAACTGGCTTGAGGAAGTTTCTCCACCACCACTCCCAGCCCCCATAGCTGCCCTCTTCCTCATGGCTCATGTGCAACCATCAACATAAAAACTTTGCTAGCTCTGTCTGACAGTGATATTTATGCAATGTTTAGATTAAAAATATCAATATGATTTGAGTAAAGCAAAACTCAGAAAGCACTTGGATTTCCCCACCCCCCTTAAAACTTGCTTGCATTGCACGTCTTTCCCTGCGTAGTAGGTGCCATTTATACAGGCATATCAATCATTGCTATTATATCACCACATCTTTGTTTCATATTGCAGGCACAAGTACTTAGGTACATCAAGATCTCCAAGGTGATTACTATTACTAGGATTAAAAGCCAGGATATATGGATCATGTGAGGACACAGTTCAGAGTTCACAATTCCATTTCAGTATTTTATATTGTTTGCATATCTTTTTTTATTTTTCATTTGTACCTATATACATTTATATTTAATTTATACCCCTGCTCTCTATTCATGAAACAATAATAATACAGAAAGCAACTAACAATCATTTTTAAAGGTAAATGTGATTTTCAAAAGTGCATCCAAGCACACAAATATATGTAAATACTATGTATTTAGACATTTTTTTTTGAAGGTCATAGTGATTTATTATACACAGCTAGGACTAGTTCAATATGGAGTGATTTTCCCTCTCTCCCCTCCCCCATTACCTGGATCTTCTGCTGCCTGCAGAACTCTATCAGGATTAGCCTGTGAAGAGGGCCTCAATAAATAAAGCTGTTCATAACTTTATGTCTCCTAATGATAAACACCATTAGATTTTGATCAATTCTTCAAATTGGAGCAATATACTGTATAATTACCAACCCAGCACGGGATTGAAACACCTGAGCCACTTTGGTGCTGAGGTGGTGCTGAGGTCATAGCAGAAGAAAGAAAAAGTATATAGTATTTTATCCTTTGAGCTCCTCTCCACTGTCTTTGGGTACATCCAGACATAGTAGACATTGTGCTGTTAAGGTGACAGTCAGAACCACATATACATAAAAATAGGGGCTTTGATATCATTATTTCATTCAACAACTAGATTTTGTTTTTACTCTCCTCCCATAGATGTCCCTGATAGTTTAGTTTCCATATTTTGCCAGGATAATTGTGATGTAGTAGAACTTGGGGACTACAAAATAGGAGGTAAGGAGCTACATGTTGCATATCCTGACTGATGGAAGCATTTCAGAATGTTTGGATAAAGAAATAAATTAGAATATGAAAAATATTTGCAGGCAGATTTTGTACAGCTTCTTTATGTTTTATCTTTTAAAGTGGAATGTGTCAGTGTAAACTTTTATGCCAAAAAAATGGCAATTTAACTTAGTTATCTGGTTCTTGTGCTTCACAAGATTTGTCAGAGAACAGACAGTAAGATCTGTTTTATCTATTTTTATCGAATTGAACCTTTCTTTCTTCCTTCCTTCCTACCTACCTACCTACCTACCAACCAACCAACCTACAGTGAAAGGGAGAATGTAGGACATCTAAAATATTAAACTGCTTTTATTTATTAGATTTTTTTTAATCCTACCTTTATCACTTTATAAGTAACTCAGGGCAGCAAACATACCTAATATTCCTTCTTTCTCCTATTTGCTCCACAACAATAACTCTGTGACCAAAAGGGGGCTGAGAGAGAATGACTGACCCAGAATCAGCCAGCTGTTTTTCATGCATAAGGCAGGACTAGGATTCATGGTCTCCTGGTTTCTAGTCTGGTGCCTTAAACACTAGGCCAAACTGGCATTGTTTAGCTACATAAGTTCTTCCTGACACTTACCCTGAGAACCAAAAATGCAAAGCAGTGAAAAAGAAAAGTGAATTGAAAATGATCTGTTTTCATTGGTCTACCAACTGATGGGCTTACTTTCCACATATAAACCTAGCAGTCCAGCCAAGGCTTTATCCACCCCACATCCCACCCTACCCTTACTCCTGTTCTCTGGATTCTCCCTTCTAACCAGTTCATCAGTAGGGCTCCCTGTCCTGAAGACTGACTTCTCACAATTGCAGAAACTTTCTCCTACACACAGAAAGGCACCTATAGAAAAACAACTTTTTAACCGCTTCCTATTCAGAATACATGAAAGACAACAGATGCTCTGTGACATGCTTTTGCAGCATGTTCCATCCCAGGTACAAATGGGTCTTGTTGAATAATTGTGGTGTGTAACTGCAGCATTTTGCCAGGTGTTCTCTTCCCCTTCAGAGATTATTATCTTCTGAAGAGGATTGCAAAGGCCAAATAACAGACTCCATTCTGCTCAAGCTATTTTCACTCTCTTCCTTATCACCTAAGGGAAGAACACAGGAAGAAGTCCTGTGGCACAGTACTATACCAACTAGAAGAAGAGATTTAAAAAATATGTTTCTCTGGCTTCTTAGGAGTTAATAGGCTGTTGGTTTTCCTGTCCTTTGTTCAATTCTAAAAATGTCCCCTGTTAGAACTGGTTGCCAAGCCTGGAACTATTTTATTATTGCTGAAACTGGCAATGTGCTAAGGAGCAGATGTACTATTGCTTTGCCATTCATACCGTTTGCGTTCATATGCGTGCATGCGCACACAAAAGCACACAAACATAGAGTATCCCTCCCCCCACATTATGTTCTGTTTACGTGGCCAAGTAATCAAATAAGCATTTCAGCTTGTGGCAAACCTGAATTGCTTCCTTTCCTGACTTTATGCAATCAGGATCTCTGTGAATTCTATCTGTGAGCATCACATGAAAATCTATCATTGCCCAAAGAAGTAGATTTCCCAATTAGCAGCAAACTGACTATAATTATAGTTTCTACAGATGAGAAACTGGATTATTAATCTGTTGTTGGCCTGACAAACCAATAAAGAGATCTTAATCATCTAACACTTTTTGGAGAAAAGTACAAAATCACCAACAACAAAGGCGTATAAATGAACACAATTTTGTTGCTGGTCCATTGGTAGTGAAGCAGTGAGATAGAAACAAGCAACTACTTTCCTTATTAGCAAAACGTAGGAACCTTTGCAAAGATAAAAGGATGGATATCAATTTTTTTTCTATTCTTCAGCTCTTGGCAAGCAGATTGAAAACCCTGTAGCTGTGAATGACAAGATGGAAAAATGACACAGATGGATAACATGTATCACTAAGTAAACAATGGAGTTAGGATATGCCTAAACCACTGAGTAAAATTTGGGGTCTCTTCCTGGATGAGGAAAAGTACAAATGGCACTTTTCAGTGGAAATAAGAAGTAATTTGTTCCTAAAAACCACTGATCCTGGATATCTATATTTGCTGTTGTCCCAATCATTTCCTGTAGTTTAGCTACTTTTTTAAAATGTGGAATTAGCCCAGAGACTAAAAGAGAACAAACTTTTTTAAAAATTTCCTAACCTGCATAGGCACTCTTTAGTTGCAATCTAACAAAAGGCTTATTCTGGGTTTACACCTCTTTTTTTTTTTTTGATATACACATATTACATTTTATTACAAATTAACCAAACTTAGGTTTGCACAATATACTAAGTCACGCAAAAGGGGAAAAAAATAAGGTGTAAGCAAAGTTAATAGGGCAGGGCAGAACCCATAGGAAGGGTGGTGAGTTCAAATCTCCTTTTTAAAAAGGCCTCTGCCTTCTATTCCTTGGAACAGAGGACGCGTTATTCTTATTACTACTAGCTAACTTCTAACTTCAAGCACATAACTACTACTTCTAACCTCCTCCTTCTGCAATTCTGGCATACGAGGGGGTCATCCTGTGGGGTTTTTTTCAATTGCTAAGTCAAATTCTAAGAAAAAAAATGTTATAGGACCATTTTCCAGAGATATGGCATTGAGGCAAGAGACTATAAGTACCAGCTCTTTATCCCATGGAGATAAATGTTAATTAAAGAAAATAATTTTTGTAATTCAAATGTATAACCCTCATTTCCTTTTAAATATCAAAATGCAAATTGTTAGATCTGGGAGAGTGGGTGCAAGAACGGAGACGAGGCATCGAATAGTGACTCCAACTCTTTATTAGTGACTTCAGAACAGAGCGAAATACTCAGGCAGCAGCAGCTCCTTTTATAGAGCTGGCTGCTGTCAAAACATCCAATGATTTGAGTTGCCGCACTTGGGGCGTCCAATCGCGGCGACCCGTTAACTAGCCAATCAGATTAGTCTAAAACGACCAATCACGATCGACTATTCATGGACCAATCAAAAGTGCAGGATTACGAGCCTGCCATGGAAGGAAAAGCAATTAGAGTTCCAGGCTTACGAGCCTGCTAGTTCGGAACACCCCTCCCCTCTAGGTTCCGTCTCAAGGGTGGGGTGATGTATTCTCGCAGGTAGGCAGGCCGTCGCACCTGTCTACCTGACTTGCATTGCTCCACCAGTCTTTGTCCGGACTCTGGTTCCGGTGGGCTGTTTGCTGTGTCCAGCTGTAAAGGCGACCTGACTTCTACGCTGGGCGACTCGGGGGTGCCACCAATACTCCCTTCAAGGCTGTCATCTGGATCCTCTGGGCTGGCTGATCCCGCCTTGCTGTTTCTCAGAGAGATGACCATCTGCCACGGCTCCTCTTCAATTGGTGAATATTCTGGGTTTTGTTGTACAGACTGCGGGGTTTCGTGTACTGAACCAGGTGTTAGTTCATTTTCAACCCCCTCGATTTCCCTTCCCCCCCTGGTTTGGAGT